TCAGTAGTTCTACCTCTGGAGGATGAGGTGAGCTAGATGGAGAAAGGTCTCCTTTTATATTTTTCTGACCTGAAACAACAACAACAACAACAACAACAACAACAACAACAATTTCTTGAGTGTTCTGGTACTTAAAAAGAAAAATGTTTGGAAGTGCACAAGCTTTGATCACAAAAACTCTGGTCAAAGAATGAGCTGTTATTTATAAAGGGTTTAGAACAGTGTCTGGCATATTATAAGTGCTCAAGAAAATGTTTTAAAAACATAAATAAGGAAAAAGACTCAAACTATGGAAAAAGCTTTCATCTACAACCCATCGCAGTTTGTAAAGGCTTGAGGGAGTTCAACATCTGAAAGGGAGGAATTTCCAGGCGGCCTCTCCTGGGGCCTGACCCTGAGCTTCTGCAGGTCCAGACAGATGCACCTGGGGGAGAGGCTCCGCCCTTCCAGGATGGACCGCGTGGTACCCGAGTTCACGGACTTTTACAGGGAGAGCCATCAGGTAGATCAGCATCCTCATCAACACCATGCCAGCATTTTCTCGCTGTGGGCACATTTTCATTCATTTGTTTAGTAACATTTATTAAGCACAAACTATGTGCCTGGCACTGTCCTAGGCCTTAGAGATACAGCAGTAAACAAAATGAAAATTCTTTTCCTATTATTTTCATGAAGCTGATGTTCTAGTGAGAAGACAGGCAAGAAGCAAATAAATATGTCATGTCAACTGGCTGCACGTGCTCTGAAGGAAGAGCATGCCAGGTAAGCCCGGGGGACACACACACACACACACACACACACACACACACAAAGCAAAGAGCACCTCTGTCCTTGAGGCCCTCAGTCTAGAGAACTGACCCGTTTGGACAACGATCAGACAAATCAAACCCCCGCTGAGTTGTGTTGAGGTGTTTACGGGAGCACAGAGAAGGGGCGCCTAACTCACTGATGGAGGCCGAGGAAGCTTCTAGAAGGAGAAGCCTCACCTGAAACCGGAAGGAAGACAGCCATTGGCATCTAAGGGGAGGGCAGCCCAAAGGGCAGGTGCAAAGGCATGGAAGGGATAGAGAACATGGTCGATGCCACAACAGGACAAGTGTGTGATGGACAAACAACGGCAGGCAGATTCCTTTCAGCGGGAAGGCTCTGGAAGGGCCTCAAAGAAGTGGGTGCACACACAAACACATGTACGCCTGCAGACACACATGCTTAGTGTAGTCATCTGCTGTTTTCGCCTGCTGAGTACTTCTGTACTTCCCATCCCATGTGGTTAGAGAGAGGCAGTTTACTCCTTCGTCCAGGAGTGGGCCTGTGACACAGACCTGTCCCATCAGTCACAGATCTTTCCCAAGTATTTAATTTTGCAACAAACTAGTAACTACTTGTCCACAATGATTAGATTAGAAGACAGCGCTGAGGTCACAGGCTGGGGGCTGCCAGGAGTCAGACTTTTCAGTATGTGTAGCGAAAACAGCAAAAGAGACTGAGGCTAATAAACCAAGAGGAGAGAAAGGCAGGGTCAAGAGAGTCCTCATGATTTCATTTCAGCCTCATGACCCAGCCAGGCCTGAAGCTCGTCTTCGTATTTCCTAGTTAAATGCTCCGTGAGGGGAAAATAGCCCAGCTTACCTGGCTCAGTGATTGAGCATCAACCTATGAACCAGGAGGTCATGGTTTGATCCCCAGCCAGGGCACATGCCCAGATTGCAGGCTCAATCCCCAGAAGGGGGCATGCAGGAGGCAGCCAAGCACTGATTCTCTCTATCATAGATGTTTCTATTTCTCTTTCCCTTTCTCTTCCTCTCTGAAATCAATTATATATATTGGGGAAAACCCACTTTTAAAAAATATATTTTATTGGTTGTTTTATAGAGAGGAAGGAGGAGGGATAGTTAGAAACATCGATCAGCTGCCTCCTGCACTCCCCCTACCGGGATGTGCTTGCAACCAAGGTACATGCCCTTGACTGGAATTGAACCCGGGACCCATCAGTCTGCAGGTTAATGCTCTATCCACTAAGCCAAACGGGTCAGGGCAACCCATTTTTGCTTGTTAGTTTACAATGGTTTTCTGCCATTTGCAACTAGATTAATATACCCCCTTTTGGGGAAAGTCCTTCACTGTGCATGTGGTAGTGGTGGGGTACACAAAAAAGGGAGGATGGGTTGAGTGAGGGTTTCTCCCATGAAGCTTGATGAAGATGGCGAAACAGGTGGCTTCCAGGCATCTGAGAGGACATAAAAGCAGCAACAAAAGCTTGGTGTGTACGTTGCAGTTGATATGGATGAGTTCTATAAACCTGTGAGTTCCCAATAATTCACCATACAGCCCAAGTCATCTTCACACAGAGCCAACAGAAAATATCAAAAACACTAAAAATATCACCTATTTAAACCCACTTTGCCATTCCCACATTAATGTGCCATCAGGCACAGACCTTGCCCAAATATTTAATTTTGCAACCAACTAGTATTTTGAACTCTTTACCCTTGATACCAAACATTCATCCAGTGTTCTCCAGCTTAACTCGAACAGCTGTAGCCATTGTGGTCCAAATCTAACAGATGTTACAGCGAAACAAACAACTGTATCTCAAGAGATCACCACAGAAGCCCAAAAGCTTAGGTCCTGTTGTTCACACATCTTAAAACTCTAATCAGTTGGTCACAGATAACAAGATCAATCTTGGTCTCAAACACAGCTTCAAATCTTTAAATCCACGCATCAGAAAGATGCTCATATTACATATCGCTGGGCTTAAGGGAGCCTTTGTGTATTAAGAAATGGGTCTCCCTCTGGCAGAAATAACACCTTAAGACTTTTTTCTTCTTTCCATGGGCATTTACCAACATTTACTGTGTGCCCGTGATCCCAGCACTGTGTGCCCATAGGCTTTTCCTCTTTTTTTTCTTTTTTCTTTCTTTCTGGATGAAAAGGCCAAATCTGGTTTCACATCTGGACAACACTGGGCAAAATAAAAGATAATTTATCACTGCCCTTATGCCTCCCTTCCTCCACTACACAGAGGTCCACATTTCCAGGACCCTGGCCACTGAAAAATAACAAGCCTCAAACTACAAGCCTGAGGGCCTGGGTTCAAGTTCCAGTTCTGCCATTAGCTAGTATTGAGTCTTGGCCAAGACACCTTTTCCATCTGTAAAATGGGGATAAAAATTATTGCTCTGGCCGGGACCGGTTTGGCTTAATGGATAGAGCGTCGGCTTGGGGATTGAAAGGTCCCAGGTTCGATTCCGGTCAAGGGCATGTACCTTGGTTGCGGGCATATCCCCAGTAGGGGGTGTGCAAGAGGCAGCTGATCGATGACTCTCTCTCATCGATGTTTCTGACTCTCTATCTCTTCCTTTCTTCTCTGTACAAAATCAATAATAATAAAATATATATATATACATATATTTTAAAAAATATATTGCTCTGGAATGCTGTTGGGATTAAATTAATTAACATCTGGAATGCGTCTGGTACAGCGTAAAGCACCTAACAAGCGCTCCATGAAAAGAAACTATAATTAATAAGAATAAAGTGAGGCCCTAAACTCTTTCCATTTCTAAAATGGTGCGGTCTATAGTAGAGAGATTACTATGTGTTTTGAGGTTCACCCCTCCACCTACCCCCTCCTGTTCCCCCGGCCTGCCAAGTCTGAGTTATCATATCTAGCGGAAGAGCAAACATCCAAAATAGCAAAAAGTCCCCCTGTTTCTCAAGCAGCTGTAACAATGGGAAACCTTCGGAGGGAGGGAGCAAGTTCAAGTGCCTGGGGACTGTGCCCTTACTAATAATAGCTAGACACTTTAGAGTCTGACAACAACCCTGCAAGGTACAATAGATAGAATTATCCTCCTTTTGTAGATAAGACCAGGCAGGAGAAGAGCGGCTCACTCAATGTCACTCAGCTGGTAAAGGGCACGCCCACCCCAAAGTTCATGCCCCTTTCCGCTGTGTCCCGGCACCCCTTCCGCCAGCCAAGCACTCAAGTGTTTGTCAAATAATGAAAAGGTGAAAAGGATATTCCAGGACCTTAGAAACGACGGGAACAAGCCTTCTTTGGTCAAGAAAGAAGTTGGCATCATCACTCCCATTTGCTCGACCATTTAATGCTCCTGTGTTCTCTGCTTCCAATGACCTATCCCAGCAAAACCGGCCTCCCTCGCCGGCCACGGCCACGGCCACGGCCACGGCGCAGGCCTGTCTCCTCCGTTCGCTGCTCAGACTCTGCTCCCTCAGCCAACCACCCACCGCGTTTCCAAACGCAACGACAGGTGTCTCCTTCGGAAAGACAAGTTCCCCCCAACTCTGACACCAACTCGCAGCACCTGAAGGCAGGCTTACCGTCTGGCGGGCGCGAGAACCAAGCCCCGCAGATGCAGGCAGGGGAGGTGACGCAACGAGGCCTCCTGCACCAGGGCCAGACCCGATCGGAGCGCGGCAGCCGTGACCCCGCAGTGGGCTCCCGCGGCGGCCGCCTACGCCATCCCTGCGTCAGGCGCGGCGCGGGCGGGCGGCCGGCGCGATCCCCGGGGCGCGGCGCGGCGCGGCGCGGGCCTCTGCAGCGAGCGCGACCCGGCGGCGCAGGAAGGCGCGCACCAGGACCGGTCCCGGGCGCCCCGCAATCCACTCACTCCCCGAGCCCAGGGGGAAGCAAGGGCCTGTGGTACCCAACTGTTGGGCACCACCTGGCCCGCGCGCCCGAGCATCCGTGCGCAGCCTCTGCTGCCCACAGCCGCGCGCGCACACACACACACACACACACTCACACGGGCGCGCACACGGCTCACGCGTCCGGGACCCCGGCGCCCGCCTCCCGCCAGGCTGCAAGCCCAGGACCCTGCATCCCTCCCCGGCCCCGCGACCCCCCTCGGAGCCCGCGCGGGAGCCTCCGCGCCATCCCTCCCACCAGAGTCCGAGCCCGGACAGGCGGCGCGCGCCGGGCGCCCGGCCCGGGGAGGGGAGGTGATGGCGAAGAAGGGGAGCAGGCCTCTTACCGGGTCGTGCAAGTGTCCGGACGCGGCCCTCGGCGGAGGCTGCCACGGCCGCCCGCCAGCGCTCCCCCGCCCGCCCCCACCACGTCGCGCGCCGCCGCCGCCGCCGCCGGACGGGAATCGAAGGCGCGGGCGCGGCTTGGTGACGTCACCGGCGCGCCGCGCGTGGGAGCGCACCACGTGGTCCCGCCTCTTTTGTCTGCGCCCCACGGAGGCTGGGACGTCGTCGCTCTGGTTTCCTCGGGGTTTTTACCGATCTGTTAGCGGCACGGTGGGCACGATGGGGAGTAGGTACCTGGGTGCATTTTTGCCCAGAGTCTTAATTCAGCTCCTCAGTCATTAAAACATTTTATTTTATTTTTATTTTTTACAGAGAGGAAGAGAGAGGGATAGAGAGTTAGAAACGTCAACGAGAGAGAATCATCCATCAGCTGCCTCTTGCACGCCCCCTATTGGGGATGTGCCTGCAACCAGTGTGCGTTTCCTTGACAGGAATCAAACCTGGGACCTTTCAGTCCGCAGGATGATGCTCTATCCACTGAGCCAAACCGGTTTCGGCCATCCGGAAAAATTTACCCCCCATTGATTTTTAGAGAAATGGAAGGGATGGAGGGAGGGGGCCAAAGAGAGAAACACCGTTTGGAATCCAACCTGTAACCCAGATATATGCTCTTGACTAGGCATCAAAACCGTGACTCTTCAGCACTCTGGCCGAGGCTCTAACCACTGAGAACACCGACCAGGGCTGATTTTCTTCCTTTGAGCTCAAAGTACTTATCCATGCTGTCGTTACTTAGATAAACTTCAGGAGTTTCTGAACGTCAGCTTTGGTTTGTCCCATGTGCTTTCTGTCCCTCTTGTAGCAGAACCCCCTCTTTCTTGTGAGGAATTGATGTGATTGGTCAGTTTAGGTTGACCCTCCCCTCTTCAAGGGGGGTCTTATGACCTAGGTCTAGCCAATCAGAATCCTCCTCCACTCTTGTACAGGTTAGTTGATGGCTGGGCATGCAAATGAACATGCAGGGAACCAATTAGAGTCTTTTCTAGTTTTGCAGGGGGAGCCAATGAGGAAGAGGGCTTCTCCTTCCGGGGTAACCTGGGATGGTGTGGGAGAGGCCTTCCTGAGGCCAGCTCCCCACCCTGTGGGGCGTTACTGCCTGGAGAATGAAGCCACGGAGGGATGAATAGGGATGAATAAGACTGACAGGTGAAGTGAGCAGAATCTTAGGACATCGCTGATCCACACCCAGAGGATGGCATCCTGGGCCTTCTCTCAATTTTGGGAGTCAGCCATTTCCCTTTCACTGCTTAAGTTTCTGTCATCTATATCCAAAAGAATCTTGTCTAATACAACTATTATATTGACCTTTATCTGAATTTAATAGAAACAAAGCAAACTATAAGTGAAATGAAAGTGGAAGAAATGCTGAATTTGAGATAAAGCTTTTTTGGGAAAAACAACAGACAATTTCTAAAAGCTTTTTTTTTTTAAGTTAAACAAAAAATGATGAATACATTTCAAGGTTGAGGTACTTGTGTTTTATAGTTTAACATGGGGTTTCTTAAACACAAGTTTAAGTTTCTAGAACAACTTAGTCAATTGCCTCAAGAACGAAAAGCCACCTCTGATGTTTAACCCAGTGGTCAGCAAACGGTGGCTCGCGAGCCACATGCGGCTCTTTGGTCCCTTGAGTGTGGCTCTTCCACAAAATATCACGGCCTGGGTGAGTCTATTTTGAAGAAGTGGCGTTAGAAGAAGTTTAAGTTAAAAAAAATTTGGTTCTCAGAACAGATTTCAATCATTGTACTGTTGATATTTGGCTCTGTTGACTAATGAGTTTGCCGACCACTGAGCTAGACTGAAGTCTCACACTTCCAGATCAGCTGTGGGACCTGAGGTGGGTCACAGGACTTCTCTGAGCCTGTTTCCACATCTCCATCACGGGACTATTGACCTTGACCCTGCTCACTCATGGGATTAGCAGCAGGATCCAACATCACAGATAAGAAGAGGGAATGTGCCTTACCAACTCCTCTAAAAATAATTCCTTCATTTGCTAAAATTTATACACCTTATTACTAAAATACATACACAAGGCTGTCACTTCTATGCAGATTCATCAGAGCAGCTAGTTTTCTTAAAGAAACCATCACCACAACAAACCTCGTTAGTGGGAGGTAAAGATGCAGTTTTAGACACCCACAGGTAACGTGTTTCCCTTTTGCCTTTGGAACCAGCTGTAAGCCAAAGGCCTTCTCAGTGCCTGATGCTAATGAGCTGCCTGGTAGCAAAGAGCCCTCCTTTCTGGAGAGAAGTCTGGCAGGGAGCTGCTCTTTTCCTAGTGTTGGCCATTCCTCTCACCCACCTTGGAGGTTGTGCTGAGAGCTCCCCCTGCAGTTGACTACAGCTCTGGCACCTGCTGCGGGCTGCTGTGGTGCCGGGCTGTCTCTGAGGACATATTTGGCCACTAGATTGCCTCCCTGGATCATGCGGGTCTTTTTCTTTAAATGCTGGCATCCCAAAGCGGCTGAGCATCTGACCCAACTATAAAACAGGCCATTTTGCTTATAGCTGCCTTCTCCCCTCCTCCCCCGCCTTCAGCTTGGGAAGAAGAATTGAGGCTTTAAGGTGCCATTTAAAATACCAAGATAATATACCATTTAAAATAGCAAGACTTTTGTTAATATATAGGAATAAACAAAAGAAATGTAAGCCCTCTATAAAGACAATGGCAAAACATTACTGAATGACAATAAGAATTAAACAAATAAAACATTCATGGGTAGGGCGATGCACTATCATGTCAGTGGCTGTTGGAATACATTTCCTCGCTCCCTCTCTTCGGATACTCCAAGCACTGATCCCATGAGTCCTGCTTCCTTCTCTTCCATCTGCCCACTTCTCTCACCAATTCTAATTTATTCCAAGCCCTTCTTATTTCTCTCCTGGATTTATGAAACCGCCTGTTAACTGTTGCTCCTTTCCAGAACATCTCTCCACAACTGCAGCGAAGTTTAGCTTTCTAAAATGCTTGACTAATGTTGAAGAAAGAGATAGAGGAAGATACAAACAAGTGGGAGCATATGCCGTGTTCCTGGATTGGCAGAATTAACATCCTTAAAATGTTCATACTACCCAAAGCAACCTATAGATGCAATGTAATCACTATTGAAATACTAACAGCACTAGGAAGAAATATTCCAAAAATTTATATGGAACCCAAAATATCCCTGAATAGCCTCAGCAATCTTGAGAGAGAAGAATAAAGTTGGAGGGATCACAATACTGGATATCAAACTATACTGCAAAGCATTGTATTCAACCACAAAAAAGAATGAAATCTTGGCATTTACCACAACATGGGTGGACCCTGAGGGCACTATGCTAAGTAAAATAAGTTACACAGAAAGAAAAACACCATATCATTGCAGTTATGTAGAATTAAAAACACCAAATTCACCAAACTCATAGATACCAAACTCATAGATACCGAGAACAGATTGGTGATTGCCAGAGGTGGGGTGTGAGTGTGGGTGGGGACAAAATGGGTTAAGGGAATCAAAAGATACAAACCTGCAGTTATAAAATAAATCAATCATGGAGATATAATGTACAGTGTTTCAACTATTGCTGATAATATTGTATTGCATATTTGATTGCTGCGAACAAAGTCTTTAAAGTTCTCATCACAAGAAAAAAATCCTATAATTATGTATGGTAACAAATGTTAACTAGACTTATGGTAGTGATCATTTTGCAGTATATAAATGATTGAATCATAATGTTGTACACCCGAAACTAATATAATGTATGTTGATTATACCTCAGTAAAAATAAATTATTTAAAAAATATCCTATTCTTTTTACATATTTTTTATTGATTTCAGAGAGGAAGGAAGAGGGAGAGAGAGATAGAAACTTCAATGATGAGAGAGAATCATTGATCGGCTGCCTCCTACCAACCTCCTACTCGGGATGGAGCTCTCAACCTGGGCATATGCCCTTGACCAGAATAGAACCTGGAACCCTTCAGTCCACAGGCCAATGCTCTATCCACTGAGCCAAACTGGCCATGGCTAAAATATCCTATTCTTCATCAAATTTCCTGTTTAATTTATTTAGATCAGTTTAGACTCAGGTTTCCTATTTTATTCAATAAGTTGTAATCATTATTTTGATGCCTTAATTGTTGTTAGATCTGCCCACTCACTGGGAGTGCCTGCAAGCTGCCTTCCAAACTTTTTTGACATGCTCCCCCCTTCTTTTAGCCAGTTTCTCATTCCGGTAGACAGATGAGTCTTCTTTATTTTTCTGAAAGACTGAATTAGGTATATATGGAATTCAAGTTAGTTATATTTGCTCTAAGAATGGCATTCTGAATTAAAAATGAAACATCCTCCCAGGATTTTAAACCATGCGGTGTGAACAGACACAAATGAGAGTCCCGGCTGATCAATGAGAGCATCTGTCATATCAGGAGAAATGAACCTGTTTCCCGGTTCTCATCAGGAGACTCTCCTTAGAAGAAGCCTTTGACTGGTTTTATTTATTTATTTATTTATTTATTTATTTATTTATTTATTTTAGTGACTCCATTTTCAGGTTCTTATTTAAAAAAAAAATCTGTGTATTTGTTGTTCGGTGAAAAGTTATGAATAGTTCTGCAAATTCTCTGCTGCCCTCAGCGGACAGACTATGTGTGTAAAGAGAGTCTAACTCCGGCACTTGAGAACGGGCACCTCCCTCCAGGTCTCTTTAAGAGCTGCCCAGGCCAGGCGCTGCCACGGCGACACCCTGTACCTGCCCGGTCCCAGGCTGGAGCCTGTGTGTGACAGGCTGGATGTCCAGGTGGTCACGCACGGTGTCCCGCTTCTGCCCACAGGATGGCAGCATTGAGTCGAGGCTCCCGCCCCAGCAGCGGCCCGGCTGCCTGGGAATGGGAAGGTGCCAGGCTTCCTCCTGCAATGAGCAAACCTCCTTCCAGGAGGGAAATACAGGAAATCGTGCCCCCTGTTACCTGCCCACCCTTTCTCCAACGTGCTTCCCGGAGGATGGCTTCTTGGGAGTGAATTTCGTGAGGTTTTGGGACCCGGGGCATCCGTCCCGGAAGGCCTGTTAAGAGCTTGTGTGTTCGCTGAAAGC